AAAGTAAAGTAAAGTAAAGTAAAGTAAAGTAAAGTAAAGTAAAGTAAAGTAAAGACAAAGTAAAGTAAAGCAAGTTTGCTGCAGGATAACATTTTTTTTTTAAAGAAACGAAGAGATCATAACATGGAAAAAAAATACTTGTGAAGTTAAAAACATATTTTAAATAAAGTAAACGTCACAAAAGTCAAAGCATCTCCTGAAAGAGCTGAACCTTTTGATATATAATGGCTAAAATAGCACAGACTTTGCAGAAGTAGATTAAAAAAAGGGAAGAAATAATAAAAACTGGAAGCAGAAGCACAAACACTGAATTAATTTTCCCACATGAGTCAAATTAATCTGTTTGGAGGACAGCTTTTGTTTCATTATGAGATAAAAACATTAGTCCTGTAGGGGAAAAAAATATCAAAAATTTAAAGCGTCCCTCACAGGAACTAAAAGTGGTCATCTGAAGTCGGAGTAGTATTTGTCTGTGCCTGTAGAAAGCCATGCATCTGATAAAACACATGTATTTTTTATCTGAATGAAATTCCAGCAGTTTCTGATTGATCTCAGCCACAAGAAGAATGTTGAAATGTGACAACAGAGARAAGAACGGTACCTGGAGAATGTTCTGTGGGCACGTCTGTGTGTCTCTGGAGAATCAAGATTTAGAACACATGGCACTGTTACAGACACTTTAAAGATGAGATGATGTGAAGCTGAAAGCAGACGTGTTTGCGTCATCATATGATTTAATCTGGAGCAGGAAACTGATCATAATCCTCCAAACATTACTCACATATAAGTGACGTGACTTCTCCTGCATGTGGGCAGGCTGCAGTCTACAGGATGTGGAATCATTATTTGGTTCTGGTGACACCTACTGAGTTTGTACAGAAATATGAACTGTACCACCTGACGATGTCATGTTTTTAATGCAAAGTGTTGGATTTTTTTTACTTCCTAAATAAACAAAAAAGAGCAGAGTTTACATATCAGGGAGTTTTGTTCTTGAGWAAGCAGGAGATAGACCTGCTGGGACCTTTTCCTCTGTAATGAGGCTGTTGCTCTGATCTCTCACGGTGAGGAAAGAACTGAGCCGAAAGGGCAAAGCTCTGGGTTTGAGGCAGCCCGTTTCGTCACCTGTACGGTCTTGAAGTGTGGATTGTGACAAGCATCCTCCACAGCAGAGGTGCCCAAACATTTTCCCCGAGGGGTCCAAAATGAAAATCTATCCAGGGCTGCGGGCCACTTACAGTAATATAATACATGAAATACAAATATTTTTTAAAGTAAAGTCCCTTATTTTTAACGATTAAGCTATGCAATGGCCCTCTTTTGTTTTAGTCTGTGCACTTGGAGAAAGTCTGCCATACGATCAAGTACGAAAGGCTCGTGGGACATATAAATTGATAAAATATGATTTTTTGTGGCCTTAGAAAGTGTGCAAATCTACATGTGTAGTTAAATCTGAACAAAATATTTCTTGTCATTTCATGTTTCATGTTTAATCCTAAAAAAATCAAAGATAAAGTCAGCACAACGAATGAAAACTACCTTCACTACAGCCCTTTTATAGTCATTTGACCAATGGAAATACTGTGTTTCTACATAGGATAATAGGTTACTATGGAGGACCAAACCTATCA